ATATATATATATAACAACCCTGCAGCGATCTCCAAGCATTTACCCCGCCCTAAAAACGGCAGCCTTTCCCATCGGGCAATTTTGCACTTCGCTGAACATGCGACATGCAACAGCGGCGGCTCTTTCCGTCTCATCACATCCCCGTCAAAGCGGCCGCTCACTCCGACTGTATTGCACTCGGAAAAAACAAAAATCCCAATCTCAGGCTTCTTGTCACAGCATCCCAATAATCATACAACATCAATTCGGCACAGCTTCTATTCTCGATATCTTAATTCAATAAAATAGAAGAGTAAGTCAAGGAGAAGGATAAGGAAGAAGGAAAAGCAAAAATTGAATTATGGGCAAACGCCGCTCCCTCACATCCTCTCGATCCTCAAAACCGAAACCCAAACACCAATCAACGGCCAAGAATTCCCGACCAGCCGGAATCTCGAAACCATCACAGCCCAAGAAAAAGCACATCCAAGTCTCGCAGACCACACCGATTATCCCGTTTGAGGCGAGCGAGAAGATATTACTAGTGGGCGAAGGCGACCTCTCGTTTGCACGGTGTCTGGTGTCGGTGCATAAATGCAGCAATGTGACAGCGACGGTGCTAGAAGGCAGTGAGGAGGAGCTGGTTGAGAAGTATCCGCAGGCACGGGAGAATGTGGATGTGATTAGGGATGGGAGTGGAGGTGGAGGTGGAGGTGGAGGTGGAGGGGGTGTGGTCAGGTTTGGGGTTGATGTGGGGAAGATGATGGGGAAGAAGATGGGGTTGGGGAAGGAGGGGGGGTTTGAGAGGGTGTTCTTTAATTTTCCGCATGTGGGCGGGAAGAGTACGGATGTTAATAGGCAGGTGCGGTATAACCAAGGTACGTCTACTCTTTATGATCGGGAACGTGTTTGCTAATTCGGAGACCACAGAGTTGTTAGTGTCTTTCTTCACATCTACACTCCCGCTCCTATCACGTAAACCCGGGTCTTCAATCATCATTACGCTTTTCGAAGGCGCGCCGTATACGCTGTGGAATATTCGGGATTTGGGCCGGCATTCGGGGCTGGAGGTTAAGCGGAGTTTCAAGTTCCAGAGGGAGGTTTGGACGGGGTATAGACATGCGAGGACGCTTGGGGTTGTAAAAGGGAAGGATGGGAAGGAGGGGGCGGGGTGGAAGGGGGAGGAGAGGGCAGCGAGAATGTTTGAGTTTGTTAGGAAGGGGGAGGGTGCTGTGCAGGGGGTAGTGGGTGGGAAGAAGAAGGGTGGCGAGAGTAGTGATGATGAAGAAGATGTTGGAGATGGGGATACGAGTGAAGATTTGGATGCAGTTTTGGATTTAGAAGTGGGTAACAACGATGATGGCATGGACGGAACGTTGGAGGACGTCGAAACAGATACCGACGATCAAAACGAGAGCAACGAAAGCGATGACGATTGAAAATGATCCATTTGGAGGTTTTGATCTATTGAGATCCTCTGCTAACTCCCTTTTTACACACAACGCCATGTTCCAGCCAATTATCCGGAGGTCATCCAATCTCCTGGAAAACGAAACTTTGTATATACAGAGATTTTGAGCCACCTGCAATATGCATTTGGCAGCAGACCAAATCTATACCTGAATAACATCAGGCTGAAACTCCATACCACTACCACCATTCATCGAAATATCGCCATTCATCACCGCACCATTCTCAGCTCCAACAGAAATAGGGAGCAGGCCCTCACCTAACGCACCTTCAGGATGAAGTGCAAACTGGGGTGCCTCCATCGTGTCTCCATCAAATATCACCATATTCTGAATTGGTTGTTGGCGAGCACCAAGGACGTTGATAACATCTTGTGCAAGTTGGCCACCGAGAACCGCAGTGACAGGCGCGATCTCAGCGCCCAGATTCTGAATGAACTTCCGCAACACCTCAGCCTTCATCGTAACATCCGGAAGACCAAGAGCCTTGTGCTTTGAAGTCGCAAGTGTCGTGAACAGCCTCAAATCTTCCGAGGTAGCCGGAAACTTCCCATCCTTCAGCTGAACATATTCCCAGAGCGCACGAAAGCACGACAGAATAGGCGTAACAGCCTTCAACCTACGATTGCTCCTCAAGTACTCGGCCGGCAGAGTCGCCGCATCACTAGCCAGGAACCACGTAGAATAGAGCTCCCTCTTCGTGACCAGTTCAATATGCTTCCCATTCTCCTTCTTCTCCTTGACATCCACCACAGTCCTCGTCCGCGTCTCAGCCTTCAGCTCCGTCGTACGATTGCTCTTCTCCCTCTCAACCAAGTAGTCGTGCTCAATCAAATCCGAGAATATGAATCCGTAGAACCCATGCACGCCCGCAGCGTAGAACGGCTTATGACCCACTCGTGTCGCCGTATTAATGAGAACCAAACTATCAGGATGCAAATCCGTCGCGATGACCACATCGAACGCGCCAAAGTAATCTGGGCCCTTGCCCCTAATATCGCTCGGGTCAACCACGACATTCACCCTCGGATTCAACTTCCTAATATTCGGTGCCGCGGCCTCGGCTCGATTCGTACCAACATCTGCTTCGGAAATGAAGAATTGGGCACCAAGATCTTTCTCAGTCACAGCTTCGTGGTCCACGATGGTGAGGCTGTGGATGCCAGCTAAGACAAGGTTTTTGGCTATTTCGTTGCCCAGAGAGCGCAGGGTTATGAGTAGGATGTTTGCGTTGCGGATTTTCTCTTGCGCTTGTACGCCCCAGAGGCGGATCTGTCGATCGTAGAGGGCGATCTCATCTGTGAGTGTTTGTTAGTGGACTGTTGAATGAAAAGGACAGAGGTTCATACCGGCGCTGATACCTGCTATCGCTGCGGCGGGAGCTTCCATTGCTTCTAGAGGTTGGGCGCCAGCTTGAAGACCTTGGGTGGGTTCCGATGCCATGTTTGTTTGGAATGAGGGGGAGGGGCAAAGTGGTGCTGTGCTGGTGGAGTTGAGAGATCCGTTTGTGATAGGTAAGGAAAGTCAAGGGGAATTGAAAGTTACGGCGAGCATTGCCTGGTGGGAAGATAAAGTCATTCCAAATCAGCTTTCAGGCTGATGCTTATTCTTGTACAATATCCACCGCTTTCACAATCTCAAGAAACAAATCAAGTTGAAATGGATATCTGATTCAAAAAAACAGACGCGCGTCAATCGCTCTTATCGCGCTTGGTGGTGCAAGCTCTTGTCTTCCGCTTTACCTCTGCCATCCAATAACAAGCCGTCTACCCCACACAAAGGTCCGCATCTTGCCTCTAAACGAGGTCATTCGGAAGCAGTTGGACTACATCGATTTCCAAATTCAAACCATATCCAACTTGCAACGACAAATACACAGCCCAATTTCCAAATATTGATACAGAACCCTTTGATTTACCCATCTTGCGTTTTTGCATTCTACCGACTAATTCACATCCTCTCCGAGTGTGCCGCCACTCCTGTTCACCGGCTCTATCTAGCGTCATCGCACGCCTATCCCCATGCCCAGGCCGCTCTCATTCATGGTCCGTAAGCGCAAAGACATTCCACCTGCACATATAAAACCAATCACCCACTAACTGTCCGTGCAAATAGTCTGGCAATTTCGATAATCCACGCGCCTCCGACTCCCACGAACACGCCAACCGAATTATCCTCGACATCCTCGATAACACCCGCTCTGCCGATGAAATCAGCCCCTCGGGCCAGCTGTATAATTTTATAGAGCGCTATCACCGCCGCAGACGGTTAGCGGATCCTGCCGCGCAGGAGCTCGTTGACATGGCATCCGATTCGGATCCCGAAATGCAACAGAGAAATAGGGAAGCGCACGGGAGATCGCCTTTATTCGTTTTACCACCACAACCAACCCAACCTGCTGATGCATCTCCCCGGGAGAGAACAATCTCGAGAATTGCCGGCATGAATTCAAGACGTGCACGCCCCAGGTTGCCACCCAGTGGTCGGTATAGTTTAGAGAGGGAGAGGGCGAGGGAGAGACAAGCAGAGCTATCAGGAGACAACAATGTCGCTGCCTCGAGGAACGGAATGCGGGGCCTTGACGAACTACGTGCTGCTACGAGGGAATTGAACGAAGCTTCTTCGAATCTACTACAGGATGCAGGAAGACAGTTGGAACGGGCTAGCTCCACACTGAGAGGCTTTTTGGAACCTGGTGACCGCGATTCCCCTTCGAGAGACTCGGAATATCCTGGCGAGGGTGGAACAAATCGTCGAGTCAAGCGGCGGAAACTCGATACGGATAAACTCGATGATGGGTTTACTGGGTTCAAATATGGCAAATATGGTCAGGTTGAACCGGGAAAGTTGAAAATGGAGATTGTTAGCTGTGACGGGGGAATATTTGATGAACCCAGTATCAGAGGAGACTTTACCGCTGAGAATGTTCTGAAGAATGATGCTACGGTCTATTGCACGAAGAGCAATCGTTGTAATCTGGTTTTGAGGCATCAAGGGGCGACTGTCTTCTCGTTGAAGGAGTTAATTATCAAAGCGCCACATACTGGTTATACAGCTCCGTGAGTACCCCGCATTTTCGGATTTAGCCCCCACTTACACCAAGCAGTGTCCAAGAAGGAATGGTTTTCATATCCATGACTTCTGATGATCTCCTAGCGAGAACAGCCCAATACCAAATCCAATACTCTCCACCTCGAGACCGCCGCTCAACCTCAGAACGCTCCAACGAGCTTCCCCCTATCCGATCCATCCGCCACATTGATGACGGCAGCATGACTGCTGCCCAAGCCCGAGCACGCCGCTTATACGACATCGGCCTCCGAGACGAAGACTGTGACTACCGCACCGCGCAAATCCCCTCGGACTTCACCACCAACGCTCCCCCTTTCCAAGTAACAACTGAATGCAGCGATTCCGAAGACAACGATGCAACAGCTCGTCAACGCCACCGCTCTCTGCATCGCCTCATAGGTGCTGGCCTACGCTTCGAGGACTCAGATAGCGATGATTCAGACCGGCTGCAAGGTCTAGGCCCTGAGCTGGGTGACTTCGCCAGTCCATCTCCTGGTATCACTCGGCGGGAAACAGCGTCAAATATCACGCTTTCTGAAGCGGCGGAAGCGAGCCAGATCGCCACGCAGGAAGCTGTTAGAGCTGTAGGGGGGAACTCATGGCGCCACATGCGAGGTTCTTTATCGAGCGGGATAAGAGTAAGTGTACGGTGCGGTTTGACCCACCAGTCAGTGGGCGGTTTATACTTTTGAAGATGTGGAGTCCGCATCATAGTCCGTCGGGGAATATTGATATTCAGAGTGTGGTTGCTAAAGGGTTTGCGGGACCTAGGTTCTTCCCGGCTGTTACTATGAGGTGATGGGGATTGGATTCATGATATTGTTTGATGGATCTGTCTCGAGAGGTCTAGGTAGAGAGTACTGGTTAGGTAGTGCAATCTTACCACTGGGTCTCTTGAAGCCTTTGGCACCTCATCACACATTTCCAATCACCGAATGAAAACACCAGTGCAGTAGAAAGATTTACAAATTATCTATGTATCAACAAGACGCTGTGCAAGGCCAACGCTAAATCATAACAATCTTTAGACCTTAGCGCCTATAACCCGGCATTCAAATCCTCAAGTATGCGATGACAGAAAAAGTGACAGTTCGTGCGTACTCGGCAGGCGGATAAATGCTGATGCTGTAGCAACATCCTCTGCTATTCCGGCAAGCGCATCATTTCCCTAGTTATTGTAAGCTTAGCTTAGCTTAGTGCAATGCAATGCAATGAATACATTACGTGGGGCCCGTACTGTAGCTAATATGCTAACTCGCTGGCGCCTCAGACATCGTTGCTGTGTGTCGCGTGCGTTGGTAATGAGGAATGCTACTGTATTTCTAGTTAGACCTCTATTTATCATGGCGCGTGTTCGCAGAATACCTTCAAGTTGTTTTCTCCAGGAGAAGATCAAGTGGTGTTGCGCTTTGTGTGAGCTGGTGTGGGAGATTCGCGATGTGCCAGCTATATACTAGTAGAGGCCTGAGGCCATACAGCTAGCATAGTAAATTTCGGCTTTATTGCTTTCAGACTAAATTCCATTCAAGCCGCAACGTGTGATTTTGAAAGTTGGAAATTTACTTAAATATTGGTCTTTCAGTTTCTCAATACCGGTTGATACTGTAACACAACCTTTACCATCGAACATACTCGCTTGGGCTCTTGCGGCTTTGTACAGCTCTTCCCAATTCTTCTTGAGTTCAATGGTCGAGCTATGTTACCGTTCCCTGTTTAGAGAATAATTCCTTCATCGTATGACCATCTTCATTGTATATCACGTTAAAATGACACCAGAACATTTCTTGACAGCGAACGAAAACTGAAGTGAATACATTTATTCCCTCTACGAGCCCGCAGATTCCATTGCATGCGATGCTTGAAAGAGCTCATGATACTCGGCCGAGTTACGCATATTTATAACCCTGGCTAAAGTGCAGGCAAGGTGAAAGCTGGTTGGAAAGAAGGAAATGGCAATAGCTTATAGAAGAACCATACGCCACATTGATTTGTTTTATATCCTCGGACGGTTTGGACACTGCAGTTGTGGCAGAACAAAAATAGACAGATTTGTGCTTTAAAGTCTGTCTTTTTGCTCCTTGCAATACATTAGCAGTTTGATATCCGACTTATCCGACGAGCAGGTGTGGGTTCTGGACGCGCTGTATGAATTTCAAATGACTCTTCTGAATCCTGAAGCGTTGGGTTATAGGTTTATCCCGTGCTATCATCCGCTCTGCCCGCAAAGAGTACACGCGGCTAGAACAGTTGAGCAAGCCGTCCACCAATTGCACTGCGGTTACCCACTGCGTCGCAATTGATCTTGAGATGTGGGAGCAGATTTCCACCGATGTCACAGAGGTTGGGCTTGCTGTCTCTTCTTCCTGGGGAGCCTACGGCTTGGCCCTTGTGGCGGAGGAGCTCGCCGTCCAAATGGCTATCATCATCGCATATCTGCCGAATGAAGGTTGGAAATGACAGCAATTGGGGTTTAGTAGTGAATGAAAATACAATATTTTGAATGAAAAGCCGTCCATGTCTTGAAAACCATGAATCAAGAAGTAGGTGTATACCTAGAATATCGATTTAGCCTCCATCTCTGGACATTTCTTGCTACAAGGCAGATATCACCGTGTTCCTGGACTTGGCGACTGCCACGGCGACCACCGGGGGTAGCACAATGCCTGGGCTGTTGTCATTACTCTAAGTCTGAAGTATACGTATTCATCACGAAGAGCTCTCATGCCCTCATGCTACCCGAAACACAAGAACTGAAGCCAGATTTCTTTTGGTTCTAGACACCATATATATAAGAGCATATTCTCACAGAAGTCTCAACGGAATACAAAGAAAACATAGATGGCAACCTAGCATACACACGACCTGGCAGAGTTGCGCTTGGACGTGGAAACAGCCCTTACCTATAACCTGGAAAACCGTTCACTACAACAAGAGTGTTCATTGATCCCTGGCCCTGGATTCATGATCAAATGCACTGTGATTATTTTCATCGCATAAGTATGAATGAAGTCTGGAATGACAGCTAATTATCCCCGATAGTGAAGAGAACTTAGTGAATCTATGCAATGCTTAATCTGCGCACGCTTATCTGTCACTTCATAGCATTACATGTATCCTCCAACCAGTAATACTCTTGCTGGTGTGTGATCTTTGCGCCAATGAAGTGGCCGCTGATACAGGTGAGATGATTTTTCTGGATTGCCGAAACATGCAAATACCATTTCAGACCTGGTTGATCTTTGCGCCAAGGTATTTTTGAACTTCGTATTGCATGCTACTTTGATTCACAAATCTGTGAGTATTTATATGCCTAAAGTGGCAGCATGAATTATGTTGGTATCAGCTATACGTAAGTCAAGTGTGTAGATCTACTCTGATGCTGGGGTGTAGGTTAGATGGGCATTCTGTAGAAATAGGGGTTGGCTTAAATACAGGGGGACCTTTGCTGAGGAACATTACCCAGGGTAAGCTCTGCTCTTGGTTGAGGCACCTCACGTCTATCTCTTGAGCATAATCTAACCAAATCTTTTACGCAATACAATACAGTGCTATTCTATATACTGCCATTGCTCTTTTTCATCTGCCTCGCAAGCTCCACAACATCAACCCAGTTCGGCGGCCGACACTCCTGCTCACTCCCCGCCTCCTCTGCATCCGCCCCGAATTGCATAAGCGCCTCCTCGCTCGCCCACTCACCCGTAGCCATCAACCCCACAGGCACCTTACCCTCCGTCTCCACCCCAGCTACACCCCCCGCACCCACCTGCCCCTCGGGCACCACAAACCCCGCCGGCGCGCTGATACTCGGCAGCCCACAGAAATTGGCCAGCCACACATACTCCATGCTCTCAATCGTCTTATCCCCATCATTAATCCCGTACACCAGCTCGGAATCCGATTTGATCGCCCAGCCCGCACAGCTCGTCGCAGGGGTCACAATCACCATACCCGGATGCTGTTCCCAGAGCCACGAGAGGTGCTGCATCAGTACTTTGCGCAACTTTGCGGCGAGTAGAAAATCCGTGGATGGTGTGGTGTTGCCTAGTGCGAGGAGGATGCGGTTTGCTGGAGAGAGGCCGCGCATTTCTGGGAGCAGCGTTGCTGCATCGCTGAGCACTGTTAACGCGTGTGCGATCTGGCCTTCTACGAGGAAGGGGATCTCGATAGCCACGACAGTGTAACCTTTCTTGGCGGTAAGCCAGTCGACCATACCGCGGCAGAGCGTCTGGACTGCCGGCGTTGCGCGCGCGAACCAGGCTTCTGGGATACCGATGACTTTCGGCCGGTTGGCGTCGTTGAATAAAACCTTTGTTGGCGAAAAGGGGAAATGAGATATAGGATCTGGTTGGCTGATGACGTTGTAGAAGGTTGCAAGAGAGCGGATATCGGCCGCTATGGGGCCATTGGCCGCGCATGTATTGCTGTGGTTCTGACCAGGGAAGAATGAGACTCGGCCGTGACTCGGCTTTAGACCAAAGACGGAGCAGAAGGACGAAGGGATGCGAATGCTACCTCCTCCATCACTGCCTAGTGCAATTGGAATAAGACCGGTTGCGACAGCGTAAGCGGATCCAGATGAGCTACCACCTGGATAGTATTGCTGGTTATATGGGTTGCGGGGAGTTCCATAAAAGATATTGTTGCCGCATGTATCTATCGAAGTAAGCTTTGTAAGAAACTCAAAGATTTGAGCAGCTCACCCATGCCGAATTCATGCATAGAAAGCTTTCCCAAGATAATGGCTCCTTGCTCCTCAATCTTTCTCACGGTCCAAGTGTCGATTTTGCCATCAATCAGTTCCTGGCCCGTGTAATCATTCATCGATCCCAGACTCGTGATATACCCCTCCATATCAAATTCATCTTTCACCGCTGTTGGAACACCATCCAGCGGCCCCAACGACCGCTTCTCTTTATATCGAAGAGTCGAGGCTTCGGCAGCTTTGATCACGAGATCAACCTGGACATCAAACCAAGCCACCGAATGCTGACCCGGAGGCGACGTATCCCTTCTGATGAGCGGGAGAATAGCATGCACAACATTCAGCGGCGTCAACTCACCCGAAAGAAAAAGAGACCGATAGTGCGCCACGGAGTATTTCTTCTGGGGTGAGAGAACGGCTAGTGGTGGACCGTCCTCAGCTTCATCCCCCAGATTGTTTGGTTTTGAGCCGCCTGCAGCCTCGAGAGGAAACACAGTGGGATCAAATCGAGGTTCAGTATGCTCGATATGCTCCCTGATATTGACCAAGGAGCCAAACCCCGCATTTTTCCACGACTGGCGCCTGATGAAGCCAAACCACTCCATTCTACAGATACATTGTTAGCTCTTGAGAACAGCAACGGGGAATCAGCGATTTATTACAGGTATGCAGCAACTATCAAGGGCCAGCCATGGATCCTAGGATTAGATTTCCGCTCATTTTTATACGGTACATTGGCGCTAGTACAATCGTCAGCTTAGCCCGGTATTTCCGGCTTGTGCATATGGATGTGGAAACTCACGCGCGAATGGGCTCGGGGTAGAGAAAGAAGTGTTTTCGATGAGAATCCGACGCCATGTTTGTGGAAGGAGATTACAAGACTACGGGAGCTATTAGGTGAAGAGCAGTCCGTCTTTCATTGATTACGCGGCCTGTGTTGTGGTGTGGTTCTTGACATGTTATGCATCAGGCATATATGGCGTCGCGAGATGTGCATTGACGGTTTACTGGGCCACCGTTGTTCTTATTCGCTAAAGTTTCAGGGGCAGGTCTCGCTAAAACTCAGGAGACATCGCGCTGTATCATAGTGCAGGGTCGCTGAAGCTCGAGCCTTAGATTCTTAGAAGATTGCTGGAATATATTTCGCATTCATCAAAGCGACTACTCAAGTCTATATTATTTAGATTTCTAAAAAACGCGTTGAATGCCTCCCATCTTCATCTTCATGTTCAAGTAAAGGAAAACGAGCACGCTTCGCTTTTCGTAATACGAAACAACAAAAGAAAGCATATGTACCGGTTCACAAGAGCCTTATACTCGCCAAGCTGAATACCTTACACCTTCTCAACGCTGCTTTCTTTCCTCTCGACGATGCGCTGAATAACAACTCTGTCCTCATCAGCTCGTCCCCTGTCTTCCTCCAGCACAGCATCCAACTCCCTCTCTCTTCGCTCCCGTTCCCTGTACGCACGAGTTCCCATCTTGGGACTACTGGGATATTTATCAACCGTCTCAGGAATATTCTTTGGAGGAGTCGAGGTAGCAATGCCGGTGCCGTCGCTCCAAATATTTGTCGAGACAGTACTTTGCGTAGAGATTGGCAACGGCAGAGGGATGCGCATTCCTGGGTGACCTGACGATTGTGGGTATTGGGATTCGAGATCGATATTTGGAAGCATGACAGGGTTGAGGTATCCGCGTTGGACCTGAGTGAGTGGTGGTTGGTGAGAAGTCAAAGAGAAGTGGAAAGGGAAGGGTAGATTGATGTTTGTACGGAAGCTGGAGAGGAAATTTCTTCTTGCCAACCAGTCCTGGGCAGTTGTGGTCTCAGAAATAGTGTCGGGTGGTGAGGGAGAGGGGATAAGTGCTGGATCTGGAGTGGAGGGCGAAACTGATTTGTTGATATCGTAATCTTCGAGAGCTGAGGTGGCGAAGGAGTCCGGAGTTGGCGCACTTCTGCGGGTGTTGATCTGTGCGAGAGACATATGCTCGACTGTTGCTAAGGAACCTTTGCGGGAATGTGTACTCGGAAACGTTAGTAGATGTCCCCATAAAATGTCAGGGAGTGCTTACGCTTCCGAAGGACCAGTCGAACTAGGAACACCACTGCTTTTCCTCGAAGACGTGAAGTAATGCATTGCCTTGCTGACCACGTCGAAATGACTTGACATGCAACTTGTAGTAGTACTTCCTCGTCTGCTCCGTTGGGTCCTCGGCTCCTTCAAACTCGGCCAAATCTTTCCAAGTCTACATTTGACCAGCCAACTGCGATACTTGTCAATAGCATCATCGTTAAAGCCAAAGTAGCTAAAGATCATAACACTCAGAGCAACAGATGGCCAGCCATTGTATTGTATGAATGGAGTTACTGAAATGTGTAGGAAGAGGATTGGGTTCCAGGAAACTGGATCGTGCAAGGATTTCCAGTCGTATGAGTGGAATGGGATGGGGAGGGCTCGGTAAAGCCAATAACCTTCGCAAGGGATCCAAACGACCAGGAGGGAGCATGCGATGATGGAGAGTTTTACAAAGTATCTGGTACTCATGCCGGAACCACTACTCGCAAGGGTGCTGCTGATATTCGAACGGTGTTGATGAAGCCCAATGAGCATGCGAACTGAAACAGGTTAGAAAGATCAACTGCAACGGGTGAGTGACTTACTAGCATAGTAGCCACTGAGCAGAGTGAAGATTGGATTCGGAATCCAATAAAAGACAAGATAGGGCCATGAAAAGTCTAAAGAATCCTCGCAGCCCCAAATTGGTATAATATTATATCTGCCTGATGTAACGACATAGTGTATTGCGACTTGAAAGACCGGAACTCCCCAAACGAATAGGATGTCAATGATCAACTTTCTCCGCTTCGTGGCCGAACTCTCCATGAAAGAATAGGAATCCTGATTGAAGACATCTGCAAGATTCTTGGTGAAGCATGCCATGGAAGTCATGAGAACTACGCTCAACTGATATCGGGTGTTGACTTCGATATCACAAAGTCCTTGTCCATCCCACCATGTATCGAAGTCGTCGTTCCGCCAAATGATAGCGTTGACGAAGCAGTACAGATTCATGATGGTGACTGCTGCAATCATGCTGCACATGGCAAAGTTTCTCTTCCGATAGAAGTCGCATGCCGGCATGTAGACGATGAGGATTGCCAATGCGGCGAAGATGGGAAAGACGATGGCATTGGCTTGGTCAACGCCAGTAACTGGGGTATCCGCGGTGGTAGTGTTGTCCATCGTGAAAGATTAAATTTAGTGCTGCAGTTTTCTTCAAGTATGGTTGAAATTCGAGAGATTTGCTGCTTGATATTGCTCCGGGAGATGAATCTGCTTCCAAAGGATGAGGCGCCGGGACGGTGAGTTAGTCTTGCCGCAAGCGAAGAAACGGATGCTGTGTTTAGAGACAAAGAAGAGTGATCAATGCGGTTGAGACTGAATTGAAGTATCTCGATGAAAGGTTTGGTTGACGACGAGGTGGAGGAACGAGGAGAAAGAGGAGGGGAAATCTCAAGATATGAGGAAGATTCCCCCTCAATGGTGGAGTTGATAGTATTGACCATGTTGGCACTGATGGACTGTTGCTCAGAAGGTATTGAGATACGTAGCTATTGAGGGATAGTTGAGATGTCGGATGTGGCTGGGTCTCAATAGCTCTATTGAGACCCATATTAGGCTTAGCGCGAAAACATCGAAAAGGGGAATCGAGGCAAAAGTCCCGACTCTGAGAGCATCACAAGACATCTCATCGTGGAGATTTGAGGAAGACAAAGGGAATAGATTTTGGAAATGTAAGCAATAAGGTCTAGAAGTTGTCGTTACTTCGGTGTAATGGCAAGTGCGACGTTGTGTTGCTGAAAGTGGCAGTGAATGCGGAGTTCATTTGTTTCAACTCAGAAATCTGTTGTACCTCCATCTTCAATATTAATCCCGCTTGAGAGTATGGTTCTGTGGTCAAACTTGGATGATAAAATTGCTTTGACAGTCTGTTGGTAGAGAAGAGAAGATGAGGTGTGAATCGCAACATCGCTCGAAGTTGGTAAGCGACTACGATATGCGAATACGCGATGGCCAACGACGCTCCTGTATGAGTGTAGTGCCGTCTTGAACATCTTGGTTGCAACTGTATAGTACCTGTGTCTCCGAAAATAGAGCTCTTAGCACTCAAAATGTGTGAACGTCCTTTCAGTTGAGACCTCAAAACGACGACACAATCACGTGAGCCTCATTTTCCGAATACAAATCCAATTTAACTATTTTGCTGTACATCGTCTCGTCTATTAAAGTAATTCAGCAAGCACGCACCCCTCATACCTAGGACAAGTAGGCAGTGGAATCAAATCCACCGGTCCTCAAGCCCAAACACCCACTATGATGAGTCTGAAGGAGGCTCTGAAGATCTTTCTAGGGAGTGCACCTGTTATGTAGATGTCTGTTGCTTCGGTGGGCTGTCATTGATCCCTTTCTGAACTCTCGAGATACCAGACTCGATGCGGTGGAGCCGAGTGTTAGTAATATGTCATGAACATTCATCCACGCCACATCACAGGACTCAGCGCACATATTCCCGTCATCATAGTTCGAAACGAAGATTATATTATCCCATCTCATCTCGCCTATCACGAAGCTCTTACCGCCAAACGGTCCTGGATAAAAGTCTTCGTATGCAGCAAGCACGTCTTAGCCTCGGCCAACACCTCCGGCGGAAACAAAAGGAACCCGTGAGGCGCTCCCGTATAAATCTTCACGATTGCCTCTCCGCCCGCCATTAGCCACCGCGTGCCCATTAGCACTGTATCATCTAGCAATGGATCCTCCGTCCCGCACGTGAATAGCGCGCTGGGCAAGCGGCCGCGGAGTATAGATAGATCTTCGTAGAACGGGGAGACGGATGGATCTTTCCTCTGTTCCGTACTCATGTTTGGTAGAAAGCCATGCATGAAGCGTAGAGTTTGCTTTTGGGGGAGTATGGGCGCGTAGAGCATGTGAAGGAATTGAGGGAGGAGGGAGTTGTCGTAGCAGCCACAGTGTAGAAGCAGGCCTGAGAGCTTAAAGTTGGGGTAGAGCTTGAGGAGCTGGAATATGGTCGTGAGAGTTAGGTGAGCACCAGCGGACTTGACACGTTAGCTTCTGAGATATTCAAAGGTGCCAGTAAGTATCTTGAACGAAAGAAATATCAGAAATAGTAGTTTTAGCAATCTTGTGATTGCATACGCATTCGGAGCAAGCCCGTCAGTCAAATCCCTTAACTTTCTATAACATCATATGAAATCTATTTTCGAATCAAAAAAATGATATTCACATACCTCGCCGCCAATGAACTCCAATGGGCCGCCATAGTCCCGTTCTGAGTTTTTGATGAGGTATTCAGCCGCATCCATACAGTCTTCCGGAGCCTTAGGGAATGGATCTTCTGGGGCAAGTCTGTAACCAACAGAAATAACAGCGAGATCACCAGCATCAGCAAAGGACTCCAATAAAGCATCCTGTGATCTCTCATCACCTAACGTCCATCCACCGCCGTGAAAGTGAAGAATGGAGCCCTTGCACTTCTTGCGATCTTCTTCCGTTGCGCGGCTCGTCGGATAGATTATTCGGCAAGGTATATCTCGACCAGATTCGCGAGAGGGAATTGTGATATTGATGCCTTGGGGTAGAGTGGGTGGTACGGGGAAGCCTGTCTCTCCAGCCCATCGCATTTGTCGATATTTTGCAGCTCCCACCTATTCAAGCAGCATTAGTAACTGAGAGTAAGAGAGTAGATGGCAGACCTACCTCGTACCAATCTACTGCGGAGTTAAACATTGCAGTTATTGTTTCATTGAACTTATTGACTCGCTCAGGATTGTTCGCGGGGTCGAATTTCCCCGCATCGATGATAATGTCGGACTTGAGAGGCATGATTGCTATGATTGCGAATTGTGGAAAATATTTACGGGAGGGAAGAGGATCCGAGAAAAGAAGGAGTTATTGGGGGAAATGCAGAAGGTTCTTGGTGGCTCCTTTGTCCAGCGAAGAGAAAAGGCAGCCGTGAAAGATAGCCGTGAAAGATAGACTTATCGAATTCAAAGCTCGATGTAACTCTTCGCATATATTACTACATCCGGCCGCACTGCAGCCAAAAATGGGTCAACAGCTCAACCGGGAAGCTCCATATCCATAATCCATACTCCATCGCTAAAAAATCAAATACAGAGGCTATCTGAATGAAACCGGAAAGTGGCTTTCTATTTCTTAGCCACCCTGCCTTGCAAACGATCTCCCACCCGTCCATGTGAAGGTTGCTTCCCATTTGTAGTCCTTCGACTCTTCTCTGAGATTTGCGGATGGCCGAATATCTTCACCTTGCCATAATTGACGACGCCCTTGATCGTTTTGAACGGCAGGATTGCGAGTGAACTAAAAGCTTGAATTGGTAGCACGATAGCGGTCGCTACCCATTCCACGATAACTCCCGTGAACCCACGATTCTTCTGCCCATTGTTCGCTGCCGCTGCAGCTAGGGATATCGCATCACTGAGTCGGGCTTCGAGGTCAAGTAATCGGGACTCGGTTTGGAATGTTTGGAGGGTGGCGCGTTTCTCGTATCTTCGTACGGCGCGGTTCAGTGCATCCAGGTCGGGCTGTAACGTCTTCTTGACTTCTGTTGTCAGCATGGCAGACTGCTTGCTGTTTAACACAGGGTCCTTTGCGAGTGAAGGTTCGGCGAGTGAGGTTCGTGATTCGAGCGCCTCTACTCTTCGCAGCATATCTTTCACGTCGCCGCTTTCATTCTCACTCGCCTCATCGTAAGGATTCGAGTTCACCACCCGCTGTAAATGTAGAGTTCGGGACTGAACCAGCTTCACCAGATGCGACATGGGCCGTAGCTCAGATGCAAGTAGGAAGATAGTAAGGTTATAATTTGAGACCAATCCTTCAGACGGTCGCGTCAATTGCGTTCGAAGAGTATGTAGTAGATACGCGCCCAGGACAGGGAAGAGGAAGCACGAAAGTAGTGCCAGAATCTCATGCCTGAATAATTCTTTCGTAGCAGCCTTATGAGCTAGAAGTCGAGCATTCGATTTCTTCGCAGGAGGGGCGTCTTCTTCCTCGGGCACTTCGTCCAATGTAGTCTGCGACGTACTGAGTGCTTCCTCATTATCATTATCAATTTCCTCGTGAATAATCGCGTCTTCGTTATACTCTTCCCGTGTTCGAATTGCTTGCGCCGAGTGATACCAGTCCCTGAATGTGATTAGAAGCTGCCTCGCAGGTTCTGGGATATTGAACAAACCATGGTAATCTAACAGACCAATTCAAGAATACAGCTGCCAGTCCTAAGAGCATAACATCTGTGATCACGGAGCCTCCATTTGTAAACAACATTCCACCGATGGCAGGTAAAAGGGCGAACGCCAGGGGCACCGAGTCCCACGCAGAAGACTCATGTCTGGATTCTTCATGGCCAGTAGCACTGGGTTTTGGCAGAAGCAGATCATCTGTCGAGGACTGAAAGCCCTTGGAGTAGTCGGACAAGGTAGAGCTCCTCCTTACACGTGGACCCGGATTCCGACTTTGGGACAGACGATGTCTGAACTGTGCATTCTCGTCGACTGTGAAGGACCTGCGGAATCCTGAGCCTGGTGGTGGTGGTGGTTTGGCAGAAGAAGATGGTTCACCAGTGGCCATTGCGAGGCGGTATGGATCCTTCTTGATTAATGACAAGGGATGGGAGCTTTGATGCACGGCGCGCGCGGAAGTGGAGTCTGTAGATGTCTTGGCGAATGCTTACCTGGCCTGGTATGGATCAACGAACGGTAAGGTCTCAGCGAGGAGCGAGGTTGTATATTATGATGGGAATGTTAATTAAAAGTCTATCGGGAATAACCTCAAGTGAAAGAGGTAGGTAGTATTGTTGTTGTCGGCGCCTTGATTCCCCTTCGAAATCTTGCTATTAATAATTAGGTTTATGGTCATCATCATACAATTTTCAGGTACCGCAGACGACTAGGATTCGTCAACGTGTTCCTGGGTTGTCATGCACTGTGCTGCGAATAGTCTTGCAATACGTGGGTTGTACTTATACTTTTGCGTCTTCTTTTTGCTACGTTGAATGCTTCATGCCCAGGTCAGTTCCGTCCATTATCTGTGCAATGTTTAGCTGTGGAAGATTGTTTCGCGGTAGTTGTATTACAGTTGAATTCTCCAAAATGCCATTATTCAAGAAATCTGCTATTTACAAGAAATGAAAAGACAATGTCCAAACAGCGGGATATATCCAGAATAGTTCAAGTGGCCTCCTCGCCCTCGCCTCTTGGCTTCACAGCAAATGCTCCTTCCCCCCAGCCCGCAAAATGTCTCGCCATCCGCTTCCCTACACTCCTCAGCTGGGTCTTATCAATCTTTGCCACGGGGTGTTGGTGATCGAATAATACGCGTCCCGCCCAGCCATACGTGTTACCCTCAGCAGGCTTGAAAACAACGTGTGAACCAATCTATTACTAAACAGAGAAACCGGCATCCTTCATTGCGGCCACGAAGTCGTATGTTGATCGTATCTACAATCTTTTGTCGCTCTTCTTCGTCCTGCATGGCGGTCTCTGGGTCATCATTCCGAGATATTACCTGGAAGTCTTCTGCCATCTGGCCGTCTGACCGGTACGGGCTATACATCCTTGATACCCGCCGACGAATGTTATCGACACTCTTCCAGTCTGCACAGCGGGCAGCAGTAAACCCGCCATGTCTATGAAGCCACATCTTATCACGAATTTCTCGAGCAGTCTCGCCCCTTGTGCGTGGGGGATGAATCTGTGCTCTTTATCAAGCATCTTGTTAATGTCAATTGACATGATGGTTGGTCGCAGTAGCTCAGGAGGACGGATATTTCAAAGTGTCTGTGGGGATTTGCAAGAGAGAAGAGAACGAAAATGTGCGCCGAGCAAGAGAACCGACATTAGAGACACGACCCATGTCTTAAGTTAGCGCGTATTGCACTTGTTCACATTCTGTATGTCGTATCTAGTGCGACCCTTGTCAGTCCTGGTGGTCCTAATCCGGTAATGAAGAAATATCTTCAAGTGCATGTCAAAATATACCACACACAGTGTGGAAATTCCAGACAAATGTGTTTGTCTTAACCAAAAGCATACAATCCAGCATGTTTATAGTAGCATATATAAGTCATGCAATGCGTAGATTATATCAAAGTTGTCGAATGTGCATTCGGAGTAGCGAGTGCATTTATTTACTTTTTCCCTCCGGTGTTAGGAGGGGAGGTTTATTTTGCAGTTATACGGATATAAGGAAATTGAAATGGAAAAGAAAGTCAGGAATATGTTGTGAGAGAAATAACAACACTGGAAAGTGTGGGATTATGGATTTTATGGTAAATAATCATAGTATTGTGTTCGCTGTCTTGCAGTAAGACAACGACTGATCTATGCTTCTGTACGATGTATTTAACCCCAGTGCGGTATCGACTCATATGTACGCGCAATTTTCGAGGAATCAAATGGCAAGCCAAGAAGCAAACTGACTACTAGATCTCATGATATACAAACGCAATTTAATGCCAACGCCGGGGTATATGCAAACTCCTAAACAAATGCCAAGAATGTCTGCTACAACAAAGCATTATACTCCACCGACACTTATACAATGCCAGCAAATCTCTCTGAACCCCTCTCGACAAATCGGACTGGCACCTTGTCACCTTTCTTAAGCTTGAGTGTAATGACCTGCTCAGATCTGTGGATTACCTTCTCAGCTTTCGCAACAGCCTTCTGGTACAGCTTTCGCTTCTGCTCGCTGTTCATCTGCGCAAGTTTCTCATCATCGGCCCATTCGCTAACATCAAGCTCAACTGTATACTTCTGCAAGATCGCAGACAGGACAGTAGTGATCTCCACTTGAGCAAATCGTCGACCGGGACAAGCGCGATGGCCAAGAGAGAATGGGATGTATGCGCCATTGGGTGGTTTGACGAGCGATCCGGAAGAGGATGTCTCGAATGATGTAGTCTTCAACCCATTTGTATCTTCGTGTTTGGCCTTTTTCTCGCTGTCGATAACCCGGTCCTTGGGGAGCCAGCGCTCAGGTACAAAATCTCCCATATCATTATCCTTTCCGGTGAGATGAGACTGGACTTTGGGCCAGTATCTAGGGTTTCGGTTTGATCCTACGACATTTAGGTGGACGAAGGTATTGTCGGGAATAGTAAACTCTCGGAAATCAACTTGAACTTTCTGGTCTCCAACGGTACGCTTGGGGATATTGGGGATGGCAGGGATGAGGCGAAGCTGTTCGTTGAGTACGGCGCCAACCATGGAATTGTACAGTCGAGGCATATGTATTTGATAATCCCATACTGACGGCGGCATGTCTCCTACAATGCGATCGATGTCGGCTTGTGTCCGTAGCTGTTTATGGGGATACATAGCGAGTAGGAGGAGGGAGTAGTGGATGCCATTCGCGGAAGTCTCGTGGCCGGCGAACATGAAGATAAAAGCATTGCCAGTGATCTCGCTTTTGGATAGTTGTGTGTTGTTCGAATCAGATGACTTGGAATTCCGGGGTGCTTTTTCGGAACCTTCAAGCATCAGGCCTAGAATCTGTTAGTAATTTAAATTGAGGAGAAATACAACAATGTAACCTACCAATCAAATTCATGGTTTCTCCACCGTTCTCGCCCTGGTCTATTGCCTTTCTTCCCAATTCCACGAGTTCGTCAAAGTACTTGCCGCACTCCTCGTAGCAGTTGTAAAGCTTGTACATGGGTTTGAAAGGAGAATATTCTGTTTTGCATTAGTATATGCAGACTAGAGAACCACAGTAGTACTCACTCAGTAGCCAGAGGGGGCATAAGAAAAGCCAGATAATACCAGGCAATAGACGCTGAAGACATTCCCCAAGGGTCATGGTATGACCTTCTCCTGGGAGCACGTTACTGAATCCAGGAACTGCCTCTCTCGTGATCATAGTCTCATTTTCGCGAGGCCATGTCTGTGGAATACCAAACCCGGCAGCGCATATGACGTTGAAGCTGAGTGTTGCAGAGTCGCCAGCAAGCTTTTCAACCGTGAAGACCTTGTTGTTATTGTTCTCTTGAGTCTGCCAAAAATTGATCATGCCCATGGTTTGTCTTAGAGACTCCTGAAATACAAGTCTGTTGCTCTTCTCAGAGAATGCCGGTCCCGTGATCTTCTTATGTCGTTTCCATGCATCTCCCTCAGTTGTTAGGAGGCTCGTCCCGTACATGTCGACGACTTTGTATCCAGCAGTGGGTTTGATGAAACCAGTTCGTCGACTGATGACTTGCGATGTAAGTTCAGCATTGCTAGTTTTGATGGTGATGTTGAATGGAGAGACGATCATGAAGGTATCGCCATGTTTGTCTTCCATCTCGCGGAGAGAGGTCCATGACAGTCCACGATCGAGGAATCTGTAAGAATGAGCTTCGCCCATCAAGGTTAAATTTTTGACTCACCTGACCCAATTCAACGTGGAGAGGAACGGGATTCGGCTGGCTACTGGGAGGAGTAATAGGTTGAGGTAGGTAAACAGACCATAAGAAGGCCAAGCTGATGATGGAGTCAGTTGAACTCCAGCACTCGGGAGAGATTTCTTGAACTCACGAGTCCAAAACACTGGCAGCCCAGTCTTCTCAGCCTTGGCCTTGTTGTGTCGCAGTCGGGGAACGAGGCGGCAGAGAAGCGCCAGAACTACTGCCACAAGCGTGAGTGCGATAGAGATCCACATGTTGGTGTTGATCCCAAGTGATTCTCAACCGTGTGGCGGTGGAGTTGCAAATTGCACCGGGCGGTATCAAGAAAAGAAGATGTGCAAAATGTCAAAATACTACCGCAGGTACTTGGTAGTCCCGTGGTCGAAGAAGGCTCGATGGGGATATTTGCCACGCGCTGCGGGGTTGCTGAATTGGCTGGATTTGGATGCAACTTGTGCGATGTAGAACGGTAGAAAGGCGCTGTCACACGGCACAATTGGCAAACTTGCAGATATACCTGAAAATATCAAATGACGCTAGTAATCTTGGAGTCGAGGTTGCCAGGGGGAGGAGGTGCGTCGATACAGTAACTTGCTCATATCAAGTTATCAATTGATCTAGTAAGGGTATGCACCGTGATCAAGAGCAGCATCAATAACCTCATTTGCTTTTTGGAACCTCTAATACTGTCTGCTCTTCTACACCATTATCGAAACCGCCGGCGCGCGTTGATAGGGGGAGGTTTAACTGGAAGCGGGGCACGAATATGTTGATTTATCCCCAACTCCAGCTCGACAGACATGCTAGACTTTCTCCTCTTCGTCTCATCGTGGCCAGGAACGGTTTGCAGGAGTTGTGGAGCCAAGGTAAGTCAAGTGATGATTTTCTCTAGCATGAACGTATTTCAACGGTAAGGTTAGTTGGTGTTGATGAGAATTATTCCGAACGAGCTGACGATGATGGAACAGAATAGATGCGCGATTACTTCTAAGCATTCCAAAGAGGAGCTGTCTAGGAACGGCCCGAACGGGACATCGTCAACACCTAGCGTTCATTCCAAGGCCTCAAGATGGCAAGATGAACCCTAAAAGCTTCTAGCGACTTCGTATCTCCGACTTTCAGGATGTTAAACCTCTTCTCAGAATCCAGAATCACCATCAACGATCTGCCACCGACCTTCTTCTCATGTGCAATAGCAGAATCCCCCCATAACTTCGTCCATCAACGACCACCAAGCATTATCTTCTATATCCTGAACCCTACAGCTTCTTCTCGGGTTCCAGAACCCTCATCAGCAACCTCCAAGAGACGTCCACCGCGTCTGTCACTCTCGAGACCTCAAGATCCCTTTCAAGCTCCAACCTCTTCCTCGCTCGCCTCCCTGGAACCCTCGCAGTCGATCTTGGCTTTGATCCATCTATCATCCTCCTCTATATCTGCCTACCGCCTCGCCAGTAAATCCCATACCGTCATAGACAGTCCCTCCCACAGACCAGTTATACACCTGAGCCCAGGAACAAACAAGCTCCTCCTCCCAAATCTTCCTCAGAAAGCTACCCCAGCTTCATCACCATGTCGGCAACCCCAGCAATGCTTCCTCCCAGTCAATAACAACTCTGGCTCACTCATAAGCCTAGAGATCATACACCATGTCTTGCCGCCAAAACCGTCGCTTTGGGTCCAGCTCAATATCGGGAGAGGTTGAGAGCTGTCAAATAGCTTTGAGGAGGAAGGGAGAGGGTTTCAAGTGTAGCTGAAGGTCTTAGAGCGCTTGATGATGTTGGAGGTGCGAAGTGGAGGGGGGAGGAATGAGAGGACGGCATTCAAGAGTTTTTGGACTGCTGTTGTGGCTATAGCAGAGATGTACAATGAGGGTCGGCGTCTGCGATTGCTTATTGCTAGGCGAACTTCCTCTTTTTCGAATGGTACGAAGGCATGGACTGTCAGAGGTTCCATAGCAGTTCCTAGAACGGAGGCTATATTAATATACGTTCAAATGTACAATTACTCTTATTATATAATAGGTGGATGTAGATATTGTCTAGTGGTGTGGTGGTTGGAATAAACATAATCATCATGTGTTTCTTACGGCTAGATCACATCATATAAATGTTTAGTGGCTTTCCAACTTCTCTACCGGCGTGAAAATTGTCAATCTCCGTTATGTATATATACTTCCAGGGCAGGTGTAGACTGTATTTAATTGCCCGAACTCGGCATGTATAGGTTGCTCCCCAAAGACACTCTACTCTATATTGCGTGTAAATTGAGACCCACTAACTCACCCTCTTTTAGTTTTCGAAACATAACTTCATCTAAGGTAAGCACCAGAACACCATCTCCAACTCCCAACTCTCCTAAAGCACCATCTACACTCATTAATTCTTCCTCTTAAACCGCGCGACCCACACATCCATACACCTCACCCCCCTCAACACCCCCCAACTGCTGAACCCCCTGCTCAATAGCATCAAACATAGCGCCAACAACCGTCCTCTCCGCCTCCAGCAACCTCATTCCCTCGCCCGCTAAAACCCGCTCTTTCTTCGCCATCAGATCTCTGATTTCCCAATACGCATGCTTGAGACCCTCTCCCGTAACCTTTAACTCTCCGCCTCCGCCTCCACTTCCACTACTTTCACCCTCATTCTCCATAACCCACACCCCAGTCCCCCGTACCATACCCGAGATCTGCGCCGGTGATAGCACGGTGCGGATATTGCCCGTACTCTCAACCACACGCTTGCTTTCCAGCAGACTGAGTAGGAGCGCCGTGAGCACGTGCGGGAGCTGTGAGGGCGTTGAAGCGTGGAGGGACCATTCGGCAACACAGAGGATTCTGCATTTCGGCAGGTTGTTTAATAAAGCTGGCAGGATGGCGGGGGAGGAGAAGTAGTATATGCAATGACTCAGGACTACAAAATCATAATCATATTCCCTATCCCCATTCTCGTTCGTGTCGCTCTTGGGCATGGGCATGGTTCGGTGAAAGTCGATACGAGATCCGAGAGCCCCGGCTTTTATAAAGGCTTGGGATTGCCCGAGGGTGAACGGGGAGCCGTAGTCTGGGGATCCGGGGTCGTAGGCATCGATGTGACCGCTGGGGCCGACGAGGGAGGCCAGCACGATGGTGCTGTCGCCTTGGCCGCAGCCGATTTCTAGGACGCGGGAGCCGGGGGGGATGGAGAAGGAGGAGAGGATGGCGAGGCGGTGGGTGGTTTCGGAGATTGTGATGGGGGGATGTGGATGTGGATGTGGATGTGGATGGGGGGGGAGTTCTGTCAGGAA